GACTCTGTGTTGACAGCTCAGATCCTGGAACCCATGTCTCCCTCTCCCAATGTCCCTCCCCTTCTTTTCTCTCTCTCAAAAATAAATAAACATTTTTTTTTTTTAAAAAATCTAAGTGTAGTTGACACACACAGTGTTACCTTCGTTTCAGGAACAACATAGTGATTTGACAAGTCCATAGGTTACGCTTCACTCACTACAAGTATAACTACCATCTGTCACCGTACACTGCTGTTACAATATTATTGACTATATCCTCTATTCTGTATCTTTCATCCCTGTGACTCATTCATTCCATAAATGGAAACCTATAAGAAAGTAATCTCTTATTCCTTGCTCATGTTTCAAAGCTTCTTAAAAATATATATGTAAAAGTTAAACATTCTGTGTCCAATAATTTCAGCATCTTAAATCTTTGAAGATTTATTTGTATTTATGTGGATTTTCTAGCTCTCATTCATGGTGCCTTCTTTCTTTGTGATTTTTATACTCATTAACTATGAGCTGCTCATTGTCCTTAAAACTTTTTCTTTGAGGCTTCTTTGAAGACCAGATTGAATTTGTGCCCTTGAGAGAGGATTTGTTTTCCTTCTGCAAATTGCCTGGATATGCCACCAAGTAAGGACTAGCCTAAATTTAATTATTGAGGGTTTTATAAGTACGTAGCTGTGAAAGTATGGCTACCATAAATCATGCTTAAGTTATGAATTCACAGCAGAGATTTTTTCTCCCTTCCAACCAACACCAAGGTCAAGAAAAGCAGATTTCTGTGCATCCGTTCTTAACTTGTTTTTGCCTTTTAAATATTGATCATTCACCTGGAACATAGGCTGCCTTTGAGTTTACAGCTTTATTCCAGGTTTCCCATTAGCCTCTTCACCTTTTGGGTTTGGATCTCTTCCCTTGCTCTTCTTATACTGTGGGGCCATCAGAGATGAATCTCAAGGAAGAGGGTTGTGTTAGAGACCTTTGGAACAAAAATGGGCTTTTAGGGGCGCCTGGGTGGCTTAGTCGGTTAAGCGTCCGACTTTCGCTTAGGTCATGATCTCGCGGTTCGTGGGTTCGAGCCCCGCGTCGGGCTCTGTGCTGACTGCCGGCTCAGAACCTGGAGCCTGTTTCAGTCTGTGACTCCCTCTCACTCTGACCCTCCCCTGCTCACTCTGTCTCTCTCTCTCCTAGAAAAAGATAAAACATTTTTTAAAAAATGGGCTTTTAGTGCTTCCTTACCTCCTTGGATTACTGTTTTCAGTTATTTTTTGTCTTCAGAGGATTTTTTACTACTGTACCAATTCCACAATGCATTTCAGTACACACACTCACACACACACAATTTATCAAGCATTTTAGTTGTTTTTATTATTAGGTCTTCCATACTGCTGTCAAGCAACCTTTTTAAAAACCTTTTATTATGATATTCATCTTTCATGCCACCTTTGTCACATAGTCTTCAAACTTATGTGTAAAGGTACCTAATATAGGTTTTATAATATATATGTATTTTAATCCATATACCAGTTAAAATAGAAAACTGTGTGCATATGAAAAAGTAATAAAGATCTCTAAGGTTATGATTACTCTTCTTAAGGGTAAAAATGTCAGAAAACCATTTTCTTAGTTACTGATTTAATACATTATGATAAGAAGAATCCCCGATGAGAACAGTTCTCTATCTGTTTGTGCTAGTGTTTTCCCTGTTTCGTAGTCACAAACCAAAGGTTTACTTTTATCTTCAAACTCCTTGTCACTTTAGCTGAAAAATACCTACTGCTCACTGTCTAAACCAGCAAGAATTTGGAAGTTTTACTAACATTGTGTATGTAAATAACAAATGGTAGTATTCATCCATGATTTGGTAGATTCACATAAAACAAAAATGATCAAACTTGCAACATTTCAAGGATGCAGTTTTAGCAGGAGACAGTTTAAAAGCTTTTGGATGATGTAAATATTTATCACATTCTGCTTTGGGTCTACACATATGCACGTGCACAGTTTGTAAGGATTGAAGTAACCTGATTAAGCTCTTGAGCATTTAGCGTTTGAAGAATCTTAATCTCATTTTCATGAGCATTTTATAACTCAGGCAGCAGCCCCATGTGTACATATATCAGAAAGAAAATGTTACTGTGCTTTCATTCTCATGTTGTTATATCACTGGCACACTAACATATAAGAATGAACGTGAAGTTGGTATCCACAAGCCTTTTACTGTAAGGAAAATGTGGACTTCTGCCCGTAATGGAGGCTCAGTGGTTCTCACATCTCACTGCTGATAGTAAATCCTTAATATCTCTGAGAAGACCATACATGTATCATCCAAGGCAAAGGCGGGTCTGGTAGGTGTGCCAGCCCTGACTCATCTGACAGACGGGTTATTGTCTTTCCTACTTACACAACATTCACAGCATATGCCAATTATTATGCCAAAAATAAAAACCAAGCAAGGAAAGCATTAGAACTGCAGATCCATTCCAAGTGCAAAATTCCAATTATCAAAGCCTAGACACAAGCGTTTTATTAAAAAATCCACTTTGATCTGCACTATAATTGGCACACTTTCTACTAAGTGACACTGGCAGTTGAGTGTTGCATTTCTACTGTATTTATTTATTTTTTTGCTAATAACAGAACATGATAGCAAGCTAAGTGCTCTGCTTGGGGGAGACCGAGTGCTGGAAGAGTGTTCTGGGGCTGCCGCAGTCTGGGGTTCCTCGGCCATTTGGGGGTGTGGGCTCAGCCTTTGTTTCACAGAGGTTTCTGAAGACTAGCCTCTTTCATTACCAGCTCCTCAAAATGCATCTTCATGATTTTTTCAGCTGCCAACAGTCACATCTACCCTAAATTTTCTGTCAAGGGGTGTTGGTGGTTTGTAAAATAATTTGGTTTTCTGAATTGATAACTGATGACAATAAATGAAAGCGAGCTTGTGAAATTTCAAATTTTGTAAGATAGTGAGTTATTCATATAGAATATACTTATTTTTTCTTAATAACAGGATAGAAGCTATAAAACTCCCTACCCCCCTCCCCTAAACCCTCTCAAATACCAACGTTAGGATACTAGAGCAAGGTATGATTCCCATTAACATCCAGGTAAGTATGTAAGAGCCTGAAGTTTTCTTGGACGAGGCTGGTTGTCTAGGGAAACTGCTTCCAATAGAACAGTAAGCACTGTGGCTTCCAGGCCATATTTCCAGAAACAGTACAGGTTCTTTCACCTGAAGATCAAACTTCAGTTGGTCCATGGCTATTAAATGTTGTCTTTCTAAATTGAGAACGTTTATAGATACTAAGTCTATACCCGGTGATGGAAGGGATGATAACATGGGCAGGACCCTGGAGCCTATGTCACGTTCCTGCAAAGGAACATTCTACATGTGCACTCTGTTACTTCTCCCAGAAATCCTATAAAGTCATTATTGATATCCCGTTTTACGGAAGAGAAGACTCAGCTCCGCGGAACCTGAATAACTTACTGGTGGTAGAGCCAGGTAATTTTCCTAAACTAAGTAGCCAGGTCTAAGATTCATGCTTGGTTTCAGGTGTCTCAAACTCCAAGTCAGTGCTCATTCGATGAATCTCTATTTGATGGAATTTCTGACAGTAAGAACTAAGCCAGTTGTGATAATGAGATAATAATTTCAGTAAGAAATTTGACAGTAAAGGGGCGCCTGGGTGGCTTAGTCGGTTAAGCGTCCGACTTTCGCTTAGGTCATGATCTCGCGGTTCGTGGGTTCGAGCCCCGCGTCGGGCCCTGTGCTGACTGCCAGCTCGGAGCCTGGAGCCTGTTTCAGTCTGTGACTCCCTCTCTCTCTGACCCTCCCCTGCTCACGCTGTCTCTCTCTCTCTCTCCTAGAAATAAATAAAACATTAAAAAAAAATTAAAAAAAAAAAGAAATTTGACAGTAAAAAGGGAGAAAAAACAGAGCAGAAAGTAGAAAAGGAAGTTATATCGAGGGATAGTTTTTTTTAATTTGGGGGAGAAACTTATATAAGGTATAACTCTCAAGAGTCAGTTTCTCTAACCTGGTTAGGGTTAACATGTATTACTGAGTGCCTTCTGTAGGCCAGATCCTGAGCGAGGTACTGGGGATATGACGGTTGGTACGAGAAACAGGCAACCCTCCTTACCGTGTGAGCTTCTAAACCAAGAGGAATAACCAGACTGGAATAGGGGAGCACAGTAAATGCAGGAACTCCCTGAGAGTCTGTTGCAGGCTGATCACAGTGATGGAACATACAGAGGTGGCTGGGCTGGAAAGATCCTTGAAGAAGCACAGAAGTGGGGACCATGCCAGGCAGAGGGAAAAGCATGCATGGCAACTCTGAAATGAGAAGTGGAGGAACAGAACATTAATGAGAATTCTGAGCAGAGAAGAGAAAGTAAAGTGGGGAATGGCAAGAAGGAGACTCCTTAGGTATGCGAGTGCTGAGCAAGTTGATCCTATGGTTGAAAAATGTCATACTGTCACACTGTCATCATCATTGTGGAAGGCATGGTAAGGGTTTATGTGGTACAATGACAGTGTCCATTTTTATTATTCAGTTCAGAATGGGAACCGGATGAATAGAGAGACCAGGTGAGTGATCCCATGGGACCCTTCAACAAAGGACAAGATGGGAAATACCGGTGGTTTGGAGGAAGGCAGCAGCAGCAAAGATGGAGGGTAGATTCAAGAGACATTTGAAAAGTCAACTTTGCAGACATGGAGATGAACTAAATATGGAGAGAGAAGGGTGATTTAAGAGACAGCTCCCACATTACATCTATTTCATAGTTTCTTTCCCTCCTCATGTTTGAACCTTGCAAATATCCGCACATTCTCAGCTTTTTTTTTCCACAGCGACCCCAGTCGGGAGGGAAGAGAGGCTGGCCAATGGTAGGCTTTCAGGGACAGGTGATTGTGTGAGCATTTGAGTCAAAGGTGATTTGGAACCTCTTAAATAATTAACTATAACATCATTTTCTTTTATTTTTTTTCTCCCTCGGAATAAAAATAGGAGAACTCACTGTGAAAGAACCCAAGTTTCTGGACTTTGAAGTCAGAAATGAAGTACAGCTCATCATTTTAGCAGAAAGTAGGGGACATAGAGCCTTCAGCAAAGTAGCAGTCTTGATACAAGATGTGAATGATAACTTACCGTGCTTTGAGCAGAGCATGTACAAAGTATCAGTGCCTGAAGGCCATTTCTACAATGCTCATATCATACAGGTAACAGAAATGCTTTTTGTGGATGTGTGAGTGTGTGTGAATTATTATCAGTGTACATCAAAATATCTGAAGCCTTTTGCTAGGACATAAAGTAAATGTTTCCAGAGCATATAAAATCTTTGATGAACTGGAAGAAAGCTTAAGCTGAAGGAAGTCTGAAGTTTGGAGTTTCTGAGTTCACGCTTCTTCCTCTCTTCGTCCCGTGCTCAGTTAGTGCCCTGCTTTCTCTAGGGACCCTGTCCAGCACCAGCAGGGAGCCTGCAGGGACACAAAAGTCACCTCATCTTGCCATGTGTACAACTTAGTGGGGAAGTCAGAAGTAAGTGTATCATTTAAAGGCACATTATTAATGTTAAATAGAAGTGCCTATTTAATGTCATGAGAGAAAAGAGGAGACACAAACTCTTCCTGGAGAAACAGCATAAGCCTTCACAGAAGAATGATATTTGCACTTGGTCGTCAAGGGTGAGCAGGTATTGGCCAGGGGGAGCTGCAGCCAGAGGAGCATGGGCTGAGGCACAGATGCATGGGAGAGGTCCCTGGGTTCGAAACCTGTGGACATTTCATGTGAAAGGCACAGATCTCCTTTTCCAGCCTAACCTCATCTCAGGAAAAAGGGCCAGGCCATGAAAAAGATCATCTGTTGTTAGGTAGTCTTGTTCAAGTTCTAAAACCCACTCATCCCTGATAGTCTCTCTCCCTACTTCGGGACTAGTACCCAGTTTTACCTTTCCTTTCACAGTTGAATTGCTGTGTTGTACTCAAGAACCTGGATGTTAGGAAATGCACAGACCCTTAGGAACCCACACCGGAAATCAGTATAAAAACCGCTTTCTGGCAAAGTCAACTGCATACTAGGGCGTTCCCTTTGGTCTTTGTAACCCTGCTACTGTGATCCAGCACCTCGTGACAATCACACCCCTTTCTCTTTGGGTAGATGGGGTCAGGAGCCTAGATGACAGGTTAGTACACGGTGGACAAGACCTCCCACAGTGCTCTGCTGTGCAGCTACCTTCACCTGCATATGCAGAGACCCCTTTGTGTGACTTCCAGTTCAGTTCCAGATGCACATGTGCCCCTCTGTGGGTACAGACAAGACCACTGCAGGCTCAAGAGTCTGGCAGTCTTAGCTCTGTGCCCCAGGATTTCCTCTGCTATTTTTGCAGACTTCTTTTGTATGACCGTAGCTTAGTGGCTGCAGTCACCAGCCTGTCCCACAGGTGCTGTGTCTTTACTTTGGCTTCAGCCATGACTAAGATGTTGAAGAAGGCGAGGGCATTCACTTTTTCAATCTGTGTCACCCTGCACAGTGACGCCCGTTTAGTGGGGATGACAGATGCTTCCAGAGCCACTGTGCAGCCTGCTTTGTCACAGAGGGCCCCTGCCCTGGGACGCTGCTGCCTTGCACTTCTTTGTCAGGCATGCTGACACTAGAGCTAGACCACTCAGTGTGGAATACAAGAAGTGAAGACACTTTTAAAGCCCAGGTACAAAAAGTGGGAGAGAGCCTGACCCACCAGTGCATCTGAGTAGGTCAGACTTCCAGGAGGCTGAGTCAGGGACAGATACAATGAACTTTGTTCTTCACATTGTTAGATCACTTGGCTTTTTCAAGAAACCACAACTGCCATTTCCCTGTGTGTCTGTTCAGAGAATTAAGAATGTAGAAGGCTCTGGAGAGATAGCCCTCGTGGTAGTTCCCGCTTTTGGTTACAGCGTCGCAAACTTACCTTAGGAACTGCCCATCCCGTCAGATGCAGTCTTGGTGAGACTCTCAGCCAAGGTAGTGACCTGTACCCTGTCTCCTGTCAAAAGTGTCGTCATCTGCCTCAGTCTCATACAGACTTTCTCTTCCTAGAATTTGAATCTCCAGTGGTAAGACACCCGCACAGAGACACAGTAGAGCTGACTTATCTTGGTGGAAACAATTCAAAGAAACTGCCCCCAGTGTTGCCCAGGTTCTTGGCCTTCACCCAGACACTTTTTTCTTTTTTCTTTTCTTTTCTCTTTTTCTTTTTCTTTTCTTTCTTTTTCTTTTCTCTTTTCTTTTTTCTTTTCTTTTCTTTTCTCTTTTTCTTTTTCTTTTCTTTCTTTTTCTTTTCTCTTTTCTTTTCTTCTCTTCTCTTTTCTTTTCTTCCCTTCCTTCCCTTCCTTCCCTTCCCTTCCTTCCCTTCCTTCCCTTCCTTCCTTTCTTCCTGTATTGTTTAAGTTTTTACTAGAGGGAGAGAGAGAGCACATGACTGGCAGAGAGCTGCAGAGAGAGAATCTTTAGGCTCCACACTCAGCATGGATCCCAACATGGGGCTCAATCCCACAACCCTGGGATCATGACCTGAGATGAAATCAAGAGTCAGATGCTTTACTGACTGAGCCACTCAGATGCCCTGGGGCACTATCTTTCTGATACATTTTTTAGTTAGGTTAGCCTTGGCAGATATGTGCTGCTGGCATCCTAAAAACCTAACCGATATACCTCCTGGGAGACCTACTCTCTGTAACACTTTTAAGTACTCAGAGGACATGATGGGTTTTATTCTGCCCAGATGCAGATGGGTTTCCTTTCCTGGTGATCTCAAAGGAACTGAATATTGGTGCGTTCTTTTTTTTACTGAGTAGCTGACTTGAGTGCCCTCCTGATGAGGTCCTCGATGTCCCACTTGGGCCACTCAGGATCCCCTGAGATCTGGCAACAGTGCGAAGGATAGATGGAGAGAGGAAGGAGTTAGAAGCAAACTCCCCACCAGGACATCAGTGCAGTCGCCCAGGAGAGAGATGACGGATACGAGGTGGGGTCAGGCCAAAGCTGAGGGACTCAGAGGATAAAAATAAGTAGAAACAATTTTTGATTAATCTGTCAACTTATTCTTAAACAAGATCTTGAATTCACTTATAGGATACGTTTTGTGATTAAAATGTAATGCAGACTAAATAATACAGCTCCATGGAGAATGATGCAAAACTTCTGTTTCATCCTCAATATTACTTTGATAATTTACTGAATAAATGATCAGGATCTAAATTTGTGAGCATGAAGTCTAGGCTGTTTCATTAATTAAAAGTCCTTCTACAATGAAACTTTCAATAAAATATTTTAAAAAACCACATATGGCCTATTTTACAGGCAGTACTTCAAGGAGGAAAAACAGCAAATGAACGACTACCATTCACTCTGCAGAGATGTGTTTTCTGGTACTGGCATAAGTTGAAATATAGTACTGGAAATCCTCTATTCAAGCAAATTAGATTTGTTTCAAGTACGGTACCTTGTTTTATCGTATTTCATCATATTTCAGAGATACTGTATTTTCTTACCAACTGAAGGTTCGTGGCAATCTGCATTAAGCAAGTCTATTGGTGCCATTTTTCCAACAGCATTTGCTCACTTTGTCTCACTGGTAGTTCCTGCAGTATTCACGCTTTTTCATTATTATTCTATCTGTTATGGTGATAGTGATCAGTGGTTCCTTGAGATGGAATCTCTACCTGGTGAAGATGCTGTGAAGACTGATGGTATGACAACAAAGGATTTAGAATAGTCCATAAACTTAGTTGATGAAGCAGGGGCAGGGTTTGGAATGACTGACTCCAGTTTTGAAAGAAGTTCTCCTGTGGGTAAAATGCCATCAAACAACATCACATGCTACAGAGAAATCATTCACGAAAGGAAGAGTCAGTGGATGTGGCATACCTCATTGTCTTATTTTAAGAAACTGCCACAGCTGCCCCCCCCCCGCCCCCCTAGCCTTCAGCAGCCACCACACCCTGGTCACTTGGCAGCCTTCAACACAGAGGCAAGATTCACTGAAAGCTCAGATGATTAGCATTTTTTAGCAATCAAGTATTTTTCAATTAAGATATGCACATTGCTTTTCAGATATAATACTATTGCACACTTAATAGACTATAGTGGAGTGTAAACATAACTTTTATATGCACTGGCAACAAAAAATTCATTTGACTTGCTTCGTTACAATATTTGTTTTCTTTTGGTGGTCTGGAACTGAACCCACAATAACTCTGAGGTATCCCTATATTTTTTCCTCTTGCCTAAAATTATAGTTCAAAACATGTGCTACTTCCACTAAAAGTTATTTGGAAATCCTTTGAATGAGCCTGCAGAATAGTTTTCTCACCCATTTCCTACTATATTATAAATGTAAGCTTCAGTCATTTGTTCCTATTCCTTTGATCATTGTTTTTAGAGCGTGTTTGACAATCTGTAATTATTTCATAGTGCATTTATCTGAAAAACAGCCTAAACCCATATTGCAGATTACACCTTTATCTAATGGAAGAATTGTTTCCTCACAGGTTTTTGCTACCGACCTGGACAGTGGATTGAATGGCCTCATTGAGTACTCTATTCTCTCTGGGAACCAAGAGGAAGCCTTCCACATGGACGCGCTGAGTGGTATGGTGACAGCAAATGCGATTCTAGATTACGAGTTCACCAACTCCTACAGGTCTGTCCCAGATTCAGGTCCATTTTGCTCATTTATTCTGCTTGTTGCTAACAAAATTGTTGCTTTGGCCATGACTTCCTGTTATATAAGCTTAGTTGTAAAATGTGTATCCCTTTGATCCAACTTAGATCACCCTTGTGATACACTGAAGGAGCCGTAGAAAGTATTTGCTATTTGGAAAAAGTAATTAGACTGGTAGAACTTTAGGGTCCCCTGTAGTTCTTAGCTTTTATGAATGTTTGATGCTATTAAGCACCAAATAAGAGATGTTTAAAAAAGACAGTATTTGTGAAATGCCTACTGAGTTATAGAGTGCTCTGTAATTGTTGTTATTGTTTTTATAAATAGTGAAGACTGAGTGACATTTCTCTTTTTAATTCTTTTTTCTTGAAGTTTATTTATTTATTTCTGAGAGAGAGAGAGAATGCGTGGGGGAAGAGCAGGCTCCAGGCTCTGACCTGTCAGCACAGAGCCTGACGTGGGGCTTGAACCCACAAACCATGAGACTATGACCCAAGCTGAAGTTGGATGTTTAACAGACTGAGCCACCCAGGCGCCCCTCTCTTTTTAAGTCTTTACTCAGTTTTGTGCATGAAAGTACAACCCTGTCATCAGGTCCTTGTGGCAGTACTGTGTCCTAATAGAAATGATCTTATTAAGCACACATTCAATATTAAATATATTTTGTCTAGAGTTCAAGGTACACGGAATGATGTAGAATTCCATAAAAGAGAGAATAACAGTGTTGTGGGTCTTCTAGTTATCTTAAAAAGTCAGTGCTACAAAAGTCTAGCTATACCTATATGGCATCAGAGTCTATAAAAGAAAAAGGAAAAGACTCTAAGGAATGCAAAATGCCCGGGAATGGGAATTGCCTCAAGAATGATGGCCCAGCCTTGCACGCGCTTTGACAAGAAAACATGGTTTCTCTGTAGGTGCCAGTGAGGAGGGAACCATTGGTTATATGGGTGAGTGGGGGAAATCCGGCGCACTGGGGTTATCCTGCAGGCCTACCTGAGCCAAGGCACACCCATCTCCTCCCACTACTTTGGGAAGTAAGCATAAGACTCTTAACCTTGTCTGTCTCTGGAGAAGTGGTCATGGGGGAAAGCTGGGGTCAGAGGCTTGACTTTCTCATTGTGCATTTCAGTGTGCTTTATAGTCATATCATATTTTGTACGTTCTTCTGAAAGGTCTTGCACATACAGTGTTTCCTTCAATCTTCAGCATCCCCTCTGGAGAAAGCTAAGTTAGGCATTTTTGCACTCACAGAGTAAGACAGCAGGCACACGGTGGCTTGCTCGAGGACATAGAACCGCTTCGTGATCAAACATAGGCTCACGCCCAAGTGTTCTGATTTTGACTCACGCTGTTTCCACTGTATGAGCTACAGAGCAGACCTTCTAAGCAAAGGAAAACAGGCATATGAAAGACCTGAGTGCCAGTGTTCTCCTAGGCCAGACTACTTTCATGTTTTATGAAGAAAGCACAGTAGATGCATGTGGTTGAGCAGCGAGAACAGATTACAGTGGGATCTGTTACAGGGCGGATTGGATTAATTAATCTCTGAAAACCTTCCCGGCTCTAAAAATTTGATTGTTTAGTTCTTTTTGTTTAATATATTTCAAAATATGACTTCAAAAGCATGTTAAAAGTTTAAGAACTTACCCTGTAATAACCAGTAGGATTTTTTTCGGTAATATTTTAATGTAATCAATTGTCATGATACTTATTGTATAAATATATTAAAACCGGCTGTATAAATATGTTAAAACACATTTCTGCTACATTGTTTCTACAGTCATTTTAAGCCTAAAGCCATTTTTCTCTCTCTGTAGATGACTGCAGGTAAGTCTCAGCCTAGTGCCACCTGAGTGATTACAAATTCAGAGATTATTGAAGGTCTGCAGTGTTCAGGAACTAAGCATATCCGGATTGTACTGACTTTCTGTCCTCACGTTCTTCTTAATTAGCCTAATTAGCAATTAAATCAGACTCCTTTCAGCTTTTTCCTATTTGCGTCATCATTTCAATGTTCCCAACGTCTAAATTGGCCCCAATATTTAAAAGTGCCCCTCTCCAATTCCCCATGAAGAATTTAATTCAAGGCTATGAGGATCCGGAACTGAGAGATTTTGAACTATACACACACTGCCACTGACAGATAAAGAGACAACCAATACGCGCATGCGCACACACCCACGCATGCTTTACCCATTCGCCACACCCTCCCGCCCACCAGTCTCCACTATCACTAAGGCAAGGAAATATTTTAAATCTCCTGCCTCTTCAGGTGCTCCCCTTTGGCTTCTCTTCCTCTTTGGGGCTTTCCCTGATATTTAAAGTAGTGGGAAATACAGGATGATTTTCCCCTAGCCTGCTACATCATTAGTGGATGCTTTGCAAATGGTGCCGTTTAGCTCTTTAACTTTACTTTTGAAGTATTGTTATTTTGTCAGGTTGAAGAAAATATTCCCAGTTCTAACCCTTTGTTTTATAATGAAGAAAATATTCCCAATTCTAACCCTTTGTTTTATAATATAAAATGAGGGAAAAATCAGTTATGATTATACTCCATATAAATGCATTAAATAAAAATGGAATGATTTTTAGATCTCATATTAAGCCACATATAAGAAAACTCAGTGGAGAGGTGATGACAAATTATAAAATAGCCTTTAGGTTTTATCTGACTGATATTTCTGATTTTTAACAACTATTTACCAAGCATGAGGCCAGGAATGTAAAGACACATGAAAGAGTTCTTGTTTTTAGGGAACCCAAAAAAATCAATTGCCATTATAACATGATAGAAGGCATGTTAATAATCACAGTAGTCGCAGGTGTGTCTGGATGGCTCAGTCATTTCAATGTCCAACTCTATTTCAGCTCAGGTCATGATTTCACATTTTGGGAGCTCAAGCCCCACATCAGGCTGATGACATGGAACCTGCTTGGGATTCTCTCTCTCTCTCTCTCTCTCTCTCTCTCTCTCTGCCCCTCCCCTGCTCATCTCTCCCTCCCTCCCTCCCTCCCTCTCTCTCTCTCTCTCTCTCAAAATAAGCTTAAAAAATAATCCCAATAGTTGCCATTTATGGAGCTGCTTTATATATCAAATCTTCATAAGAGATTAAGATTTACAGAAACAGGAAATTGAAGTTCATAGAGGTAAAGATTTTTGCCAAAAATAGGCAGCTTGTAAATAGTAGAATGGATGGGGTTTTTGCCCACGTGAGTGGTCATTGTAAGGCTTCCTCCTGTACCATGTGAGTGAATCTGTAAAGTACATACCTGTATATTTATGAAACACAAAAGAGAAAAAAAAACTTTAGGGAAATAAGAGTTAATTTAAAAGTTTAAAACTTCAGTTTCTGTAGCATAAATATTCAAGGTCAAAGAGCAGTTATTACCAGGAGCAACATTAGACTCATACTCTCCATGGTGGGCTCATTATGACCATGAGAGAAATAGCGAGAAGTAGTTATGTGTACAGGGTAGGAAGTGAACTGTGATGTTGTCTTTTCCAAAATACGTGACTCATAAAGAAGAGTTGGGATGGCAACCCCATTGTTTTGATTCCCATGAAAAAGGAATAAAAGACATTTTGGGTAAGAAGACAGAAATTGATGGATATGCAACAATGTTTGGTATATTTGGCAGTAACAAGGGGTACAGTGCACTTGAGAAGCACCTGAGTGTGAGGTGTTAAAAAGAAGCTGGGGACACAGTAGAAAAGGAGGAAGGTGGCCAAAGGTGCAGTTTCAGTTACAAGAGAAATTAAGTCTTATTTGTGGATCCACTCTTACTTGTGGATGAGATATGCAACATGGTTGACATAGTTTTTCTCCATTTTTGTATCTGTATGAAATGATGGAGGCCAACTAAGTTATTGTGATAATAATTTTACAATATATGTAAGTCAAATCTTTATGTTATACACTTTAAACATACACAGTGGTGTGTGCAGTTATACCCCAGTGAACCTGGAAACAAGCTCACCATGACCCAAAAAACAAAACAAATAAAAACAGAGGCTAGTAGGTTGCAAGCAAGTTTTGAGGGATTTTATACTCCATATAATGGAAATTGTACTTGATTCTGTAGGCTGTCTAGAAGCACTTGAGTGCATGTTCAGATCTTTATTTTCTTTTTAAGTTTATTTATTTATTTTGAGAGAGACAGAAACAGTGTGAGTGGGGCAGGGGCAGAGAGAGGGAGAGAGAATCTTAAGCAAGCCCCATGTTGCCAGCATAGAACCAGATGCAGGCCTCGAACCGACAAAGCTGGGAAATCATGACCTGAGCTGAAACCAAGAGTCAGATGCTTAACTGACTGAGCCACCCAGGCACCCCTCAGATCTTTATTTTTATTTATTTATTTATTTATTTATTTATTTATTTATATTTATTTCTGAGAGAGAAAGAGTCACTGTAAGCAGGGGAGGGTCAGAGAGAGAGGGAGACACAGAATCTGAAACAGGCTCCAGGCTCTGAGCTGGCTGTCAGCAGAGCCCAATGCGGGGCTTGAACCCACGAACCGTGAGATCATGACCTGAGCCGAAGTTGGATGCTTAACCGACTGAGCCACTCAGGCGCCCCTGAGAAACTGATTTTCAAATCTGCTTCCAGGCACACCTATTTTTCATCCCCAAACAGCTCCTCATCACGAGCCCACCATCTTACCTCAATCCCAAAAGCTCTTTCTTAATCTTTCTGCTTTTCCATAGCATTTTGTTCTTGTTTCATACGTGAATTATCTTCAGATATCTCTCCAAGGACATTAATTAGAATTGTTTACATATTTTCTTTTGTCCTTTCGAAATGTCCTGTTTCTTTTGGGTTTATTTCTTCTCTTTGTTTTGCACTCTCTTTTCATACTGGAGACTTGCTGTAAGTATCTAACCGTTCATGGCTGTAAGTATCTAACCGTTCATGGTTCTGAGTGAGACAATGGAAAGTCATTAGAATCTGTGAGTGGGCAGCCAGAGCTTACTAATCAGCACACTTCACTTTCAGATAAACTAGAGAGGAAGTTGACTACTTTGCAGGATGACAGACAAATGACAATCTAGAGAGTTCTTTTTTCTTTGGGAGGGGCTTTCACTTCTTCAAGGACAGTCCCTCAGTATTATTTACTGAATATGAAAATCAGGGCTTCTTTTGCCTGAGAGTGAAGAACAGTGGACACAGGGACTTGATTGTTCTTTATGTTGAGTTTAAAATAATCTCCAAGCTATTTTTAGCTCAGTGTCTCACCCCACCACCGCCAAGGAGCCATCATAGAAACGTGGAGGTCTCTCAGAAGTTATGTGTGCAATCTCAGTGCATCTGTCTTCATAATTTTTCATCTGCTCTTCAAGCCATTAAGGAACTTCTTACTCATCCTTTTATTTTGAAACTGAATTGTGTATTTTCTACCATATCAGAGATTCTCATTTAAGTTGACATAGGCATTATATAGAACTCCTGAAACTGTAACATAAAAATAAGGGTGGTTACAGCTATAGTAGAATCGACAGAGCCATAACTTTGATGTCTTGGCTGAGCTATTAGCATGGCATTGGGGAGGGGAAGGTAGCATAGGCAGAGAACATTATGATTTGTTTATTTTTAGTAAAATTTTTCCATATGTATCTGACATCAGTCCATGCTAACCAAACAAACTTTCCCCATGGAATGATTCTTAAGCTCCAGAAGTGTGAAATTCAAGTAGTTGTTTTACTGATGTCCCAGCTCTGATAGTGTAGAAGGCAGCCTATATGCTTCATGAACAGTAAACAGTGATTATTTGCTATTAAATGGGATTTAAAGAATCCCAACCAAGAATGAGTTGGTGCTTATGTTATATCATTTTAAAATGTTAGATTAGAAAGATAGAACACTTAACAGATAAGCTAAGGGAAAAGAAAGTAGAAATGTATCAATTTCTAAGACTCAGTTTCTTAAAGGGAGGCATCAACCACTGGCTAAGACTAATACTACTTCTGAAATAAAGATTGTCTTCTGATTGACATCTTATTTCATTACTCAGCTACCCTCCTGGAATTCATAGTGTTTAGACTAGGGGAGTGAAAAGCTAACGATTATGTATTAGGGCATGATATATACATAGTAAGAGAGGCATGTTTAAAATATATAGTGGAGCTGAGATAGTAGAGCACAGGCTTTCTCATCAACCAAGATCTGGGCTTGAATCCTGGCTCTGTCATATAATACACTCACAATCTTAGACAATCTTGAGAAACCAGAAGTCAACATATCTTTTTAAAAATCGAATAAGATAGCTTACCTGCCTTCAAGAAACTTATGGGAGGGACAGATAATAAATCATTTAAAACAAAGGGTGACAATTCCTGTGTCAGAAGAATGTACAAGGTGCTGTGGGATGGGGAAAGGAGCATCCAAATCAGACCAGAGGTCAGTGAAAACTTCCCGGAGATGTGAGCTTCAGAATATAAAGAGGGTAGGATAAGGATAGGGATTCCAGGCAGAAGCCAAGTCATAGGAGGTCTTGTGTATGTGCTCAAGGCCTGGATTACCTCTTGTAGACGTGGAAAGCCAAGGAAAAGTTTTTTATAGGGAAGTCAGGCTTTCAATTCAGGTTGTTAGATGGAGCAATTGAATTGCAGTGGCGGGGGGGATCAAAAGGGGCAGATGAGACTTGCAGGAGGGAGACTGTTGAACAAACACTAATCCAGTTGAGAAGGGATATAGTGAAGAGAGAACATTCCAGGTGAAGATGATGAGGGAATGAGGCTACAGAGATCAACTTGTTCTGTTTGTCCAGGACTGTCCTGGTTTAAAAAAACCTGAAAGTCCCATGTTTCAGGAAACCCTTCAGTCCGGACAAAGCAGGATATTTGATCAGCCTACCTATGGTTCTGAAAGCAAGAGTTCAGTTGTTGTGGACACAGGAGATAAAATCCATAAGACTCATAATTAGTTGGGTGTTGGAAAGGTGGTGACAGGAATGGAGAAGTTGAAGACACTAATAAGGTTTCTAATTTAGTTGCTGGAGATAGTTGCACCATCATCCAAGAGTGATGAAATCGCTACATGTAAATTCTTATAGATCATGGAATTTTTCACCTAACTCTATAGTTCTAGACAGTCATGCATTTTTGTATGTATGTTAATCATGCAGTGTCCTCTCTTAATTCTGTAGTTTCTATTGATTTGGAAATGTGGATCTAAAATAACATCATTACAAAACACTCTCAGTGGCTCTATCTTTTGTTGGTACAGTAAAATATAAATATGTAGTAATGTCCAGGCCATGCATGATAAGGTGGAGGCAATCTACATCTCCAAAGAACAGGTGTTGTTGTTCTTACATTTTAGGTTGTTCTCGGTAGGAAGGACTGAATTCTATGGTCTGTCTCCAGAAATGGTTCATTTGTTTTAAACCACTTTAACCCTGGTGGCTTGCTGAATTTTATTTTCTAAATGCATCAAAAATAAATTTCAGGGGTGCCTGGGTGGCTCAATCAGTTAAACATCCAACTTCTGCTCAGGTCATGATCTCACTGTTTGTAGGTTCAAGCCCCACATTGGGCTTTGTGCTGACATCTCGGAGCCTGGAGCCTGCTTCAGAATCTGTGTCTCCCTCCCTCTCTGTCCCTACCCTGCACACATTCTGTCTCTCTCTTCTGTCTCTCCCCCTCCCTCCCCCCTCCCTCTCCCGCTCTCCCTCCCTCCTCTCAAAACTAAATAAAAATTTTTAAAAATTAAAATAAGTAAATAAATAAATTTCAGACTAGCATTCTTATGAAATAATTTTTTAAAATGATACCATTTAGAAAAAGGTAGGGGGAGAAATATAAAAGTAGCTAGTCAGCTCATTTTTAAGTTTTCTACTGGATATTTGATATTTATGTTATATTTCTAATTCTCTGAATAATGGATTACATTCCTTGATTCTTCTTCAAACCAGCTTGATTGTGCAAGCTACAGATAAGGGGATGCCCAGACTTTCTGGTACAAGTGTGATCAAGATACAGGTGACCGATACAAATGACAATGCCCCTGCGTTTCTCCCCTCTGGAGAAGTGGAAATTGCAGAAAGTAAGTGTGGCAGTTTTGAATCGTGGTTTTAACTTATATAATATCATCTACCATTTTCTCAGCCAGGCATTATATCAAATATGAGTACTAATTCTCAACAACCAGGCAACATAGACTGCTTCTGTCTTCATTTTACAGAATAGAAAAGGGATGGTCAAAAGTTAAAATATCAAATGTCAAAGAAGTTGAATGTTAAAGCTGGGATCTGCATTTAAGTCCTCAGGAGGCCAATTCCCAAGGCTCAAAGTGGCATTCCACACAGCTTGTTTTTCGTGTGCCAATATTTCTCAAAAAATGAAATCTACTCCATGAAGAAGCATACTTTGCTGACTGTGATGATCATTCTAAAGCTCCCCTGAGAAGGAGCAGTGTCCTTAGATAATTTTGTCCGTCTTTGCAGTATATTGATGGCAAGTAGTAAGTGAAGGGGTACTCATCACACAAAATTATTGCTTCCCTCTAGTGTAAACTAAACTGAAGCATTTACAGAAAGATTATACCCACATGCATGGTGGAGGTAGAAACTATTACATTTTACATGATATGCTAATTAATCTTAATTGTGTGGGTCTCTGTATTATATGACTCCATAGTCTGCAGTCCCAACTTTGTCCATGGTCAGTGGCCTGTACTGCTAAATTCACCCCAACTCTTGAATCATTGAAATTGCAGAGAAAGTGCTGACCCCTTTCTTGTCACTGTCCTTTTACTCTTAATATCCAGCTCACTCCTAGGATGTTTCACACCTTTTAGTATGTTCACTTTCCAAACAAATTACCATGCACAGAAGGATGTATTTGTAGATGTGTAGAGATACCTACAAATACTCTAAAATATTCTACAATTAAAAAGTTCTCCAGTTTTGCCTCTCACCCATTTGATACATTTTCATTTGCTTTTACTGAGGGTCCTTTTCTTCAGCACATGTATTAGCATCACAAAGCAGCAGCGTGCCCATTGTAAGTATATCACAAGAACAGATGGCATAAATCAAAACATACTGAACAGGGTAAGGGGTGGTTGATGCACAACCAGACTGCTCAAGCCTGAAATATGAAAATTACAGGGAGCCTCTATACAGGAGAACCATTCTGAGTATGTTGGCCTCCTCTTTCTACCTGCACCATACTTCTAAGCTTAAAAATGAGGTCCCTTGGGACACCTGGGTGGTTCAGTCAGTTGAGTGTCTGACTTTGGCTCAGGTCATGATTTCGCAGTTAGTGAGTTCAAGCCCCCATTGGGCTCGCTGCTCTCAGCACAGAGCCTGCTTCAGATCCTCTGAACCCCCTTATCTCTGTGCCTTCCCCACTTGTGCTCTCCCCAAAATAAATATTTTTTAAAATGAGGTGCCTTTTGTGACAGTTTAGACTATAGAACACATATTGTGTGTTAGCACTTAGCGTGCCATCTGTTTTGTGATTTTTGTTTTGGTGAATAATATTAGAGATTTGCTTTTATCACTAGCACAATGTATACTTTGTCTTTCAATAGTCTGGATAATTTTGAGAGTCAGATATTAAGAGAAGGAAGCGGTATATGTGCCACTCCAAAAGAAATAATTTTACAGAAATAAGTACAGGGAGCTATATTTCTAACTTTAGTGTACAAATATTTTCACTTAAATCTTGCTTATGTTTCAAAATTGTATGCTTTGTATTAATGTTCTGAGTAATAACCTTCTTCCCACCCATATCCCCTATGTATATATGATTTTAATACAGAAACTATGTATACAAATAAGTGGTTGAGAATGTTTCTTGGTCCTGGAATTGTGTTGCATTCATATGACAAAAAATGCAATATAAGAATTGAATATACTCTACCTCCTCAATTCCCTACTCAGTGGTAAATTTTCACTTTATTGGGCTCATAAATTCTTCAGAGTTTTTGTTCGGTTTATAATGAGCTTTGTATGAGAAATCATGCCAAGAAATAGCAAATCTGTTGGACTTAAAGTTAAAATGTTTGGACTGAACTATTAAAGTATTTCAAAGGATGAATTTTAATGGAGACTGACATTGGTCATGACTATTGCAGATTCTTTGCCTGGTGTGATTGTGACTCAGATATCAGTTCATGATGTGGATTTGAATCCAGCTTTCATCTTCAATTTTGCCAAAGAGAGTAATCCTGGAACCAAGTTTGCCATTGATCGGAACACTGGAGCAGTGGTGCTAGTGAAAACATTGGATTTTGAAGAAGCTACTGAATATGAGCTGCTCGTCCAAATTTCAGATACTGTGCATCACACAGAGGGAAGAGTCATGGTCCGTGTGTTGGACGTCAATGACAACCCACCAGTATTTTCTCAAGATTCTTACCAGGTAAAAAGCTCAAAGAGATGCTGAAACCGTAGCCAGACTAGAAAGAATGGGGAATAATGTAAGCCTACTATTGTTGACAGACTGATTTAGGCAGACGGCATTCATGGTGTTTAGTGCCTTACTTGATGCTGAGGGTTTTATATTCAGTGTCATGGAAGATATGGTAAGTACATATGTACTTAAGTAACTCATTCAGTTCAGTTTCTTATGTATGTGTATCTCCATTTTTTTTTTTAGTTTCTAGAGATTGGAATCCAGTTGTCCATAACAATCAGAACTGACCTAATACTTTCAAAGCTACCAGAAAATAAGGAGGTTTAGATTCTCAGCAGTTAACCTGGGAAACCCCTTTCTTTTCTAGAGATAGTTTTGGAATACATTGAACATTTTGCAGAAATAAGTCACAAACAAAACTGTAAAGTGGAAATTTGATTTGTTTTACAGCTCAGTATGTTTATAGAAGTAAGGATAATAATAGCATTCAGCTAAATACTTGGAAACGGGCATCAGGACTTCTGAATGTAGCAAATGCATGATTGAAGCATAAACACAGAAGGGAAATTAACCTAAGTAATGATTTTCTGTGAAGGCTTGCTAAATTATACAATGTACATAATGTAAGACTACAATGGTGAATTTACTAACTATCCCCTGTGCTGTAGATGTCATTTAAATGGAATTTTTTTCATAATAATCCAAACTGAACGAAAACTTTTTTTCATTTTGCTTTTCTGTATTCTAGGTCTACCAAATAATGTTCTTAATATGTCAACTCTATAAATTAATGTGTGCATTTTCCACAAGGAAAATGAATGCAGTGACTTTACTTTCTGGCCTTGTTCCTGAAAATATCTCTGCCTATAAGCACGGGGCTTATTTCTCTCTTTTTTCCTTCAGGCCACTGTTCCCGAATCAGTGTCTGTAGGGTACTCGGTGCTGACTGTGGCAGCCACAGACATAGAAAGCAACGAGAACATTTCTTACAGAATCCTTTCCTCATCGAAGGAATTTTCAATTGATCCGGTGAATGGTGAGTTATTCACAGTGGCTTTAGTGTTCGTAGGTTTGAGTTACAGGGTGGAAGCCTGAAATAATCTTTTCCAAATGCTCCAAAAACGTTCCCACCTCACCCCCTGGTATTATAGATGCCACCCTTCTTATTGGTCTGCACATTAAATGCTGTGGTAGCAAACCCTGGTGTTATTTCTCTTCTCTAACATCTCAATGGCTGGAAAGCAAAAGGAATTGATTACATGCTGGCAAATGTGCAGGACATCAGAGACCCCAATGTAGTAAACACCCAGTTGATCAGTCCAACTATGGACAGTTTGGGTAATTATCCCAGGCCTCAACAAGCATCAGAATGCATTCAAAGGGATTCATTTAGTACTGAGGATTTCGTGTTATAAGAGTGTGGAAGCTTTTTTTCCAAGCCAAGTACAGAAAGTTCAGTAATAGCATAATACATTCAATAAGGACAAAAATTGAAAAAGGAAAATTATTTGAGCATGTATGCGGAGAAAAATTATTGTGGTATCCCAGTTTATTTGATGCCTTCCAAGGCTCTTTTGTCTTTTTATCAGAGAGCAAGTCACTTGTGGTCATGAAATGCACTCAGGCAAGTGATTTCAGATTAGAACAGTTAAGAATTTTATAGAGGAAGCATAAAAATGAGTAGAAGTTAAAAACTAAATTTGATACGATATTTTCATTAGCAAAACACGGTCCCTAGCAGAGCACACTCCTGAAAAGAACAGGTCCCAGGCCATGTCATACCACGTGTGCCCCATCTCTACCCACCACTGCATTATTTCATAGGTGAGAACTGGTTTAAAATTAACTTCATGGGGTGCCTCAGTTGATTAAACGTCCAACTTGGGTTCAGGTCATGAGCTCATGGTTAGTGGCTTTGATCCCTGCCTCGGGCTCTATGCTGACGGCTCAGAGGCTGGAGCCTGCTTCAGATTCTGTGTCTCCCTCTCTCTCTGCCCCTTCCCCACTCATGCTCTGTGTCTCTCTCTTTCTCAAAAATGAATAAACACTAAAAGAGATTTTAATAATAAAAAATTAACCTGAGGATTGCCCTAAAGAAGAATTTAATTGCCAAAGACCAGTGTGCAGCCCATGGAGGTTTGCGACAAGTAGGTCATGTTGCCGCACAGCCTGTGGGTAAATGCCACTGTATGGATATTAACATGTCAGAGACTTGGCTCTTCTTTTCTTCTCTCCCTTTTTTTGGGGGATGCACAGTGCTCAGATAAAATCAGCTGCTGTCCTGGCCATAGCCTCTCACAGTGAATGAGGTGGTTCCTCTGAGCACTCCATCTTGCAACACTTCTACTTGACAAGTGTTATCAATAAACTTTGTAGTTAGATATTGATTAGGATGTTTTTAAAACATTAAATGTTATCAGATCAATTTAGTTCACAGTGGAACCCTAATTACATATTTATGTGTTAAAAATAATAAAATTTATTAAGTATATTTCATCAATAAAAGGAAAAGCCACTTGCTGAATTAAGAAAAAGCTTAGGAAAGATACCTTTATAATTAAGCAATAGTTGAAATTCAGCATTATCCTATTACCTTTATTTGACTAGACTGTCAACTAGTATTTCCAGAATAAATATCTTTATACTAAAATATTCCTATACATGTGTCTATAGGTAGTAGAGTAGAATATACACTTTTCAAATAAGAATACATTTTCTTAAAAAATAGTAAGGGAGGGGTGCCTGGGTGGCTCAGTCAGTTAAGTGTCTGACTTCATCTCAGGTCATGATCTCATGGCTTTTGAGTCAGAGCCCTGCATCAGGCTCTGTGCTGACAGCTCGGAGCCCAGAGCCTGTTTCAGATTCTGTGTCTCCCCGTCTCTCTCTGCCACTTTCCCACTACACTCTGTCTCTCTCAAAAATAAATAAACATTACAAAATTTAAAAAATAGTAATGAACAGCTTATTATACAAAAGTAAAATTAAGAGACATTTGTGGCAAAGACATCTTCAGGCAGCACATAGATTTAATACAGTGAATGCCAGGAGTATTACTTCTGGATCTCAAGTGTTAGAAAAGTATAAATATAATAATTTAAAATTTCTATTTGGAGTTACTCTTGGTTGTAACTTAAATAACAGACATAGCAAATGAATAAACATAGTAATATTTGCTGAGAACTGGATCATGAAAATTTAATTTCACAGCCTTGAAATGCTATGTCTTGTTTTTCAGGCACAATATTTACTATCAGTCCTCTATTACGTCTGGATAAAAAATCAACAATCCAGTTTCTTGTTGAAGCCAGTGATGGTGGAATTCCTGACCTGAGTGCTCTTACCTTAGTAGAAATAGAAATACAAGATACAAACAATTATGCCCCTGAGTTTGCAATAGAATATTATAACCTTAGCTTGAGTGAAGATGTTCAAATTGGAGGCACACTTCTCACATTTTCAACCATGGACCGTGACTGGACCTGTGAAAACATCCATGTTGATTATTCTATCATCAGTGGTAATTCACAGAATAATTTCCATGTAGAAACCAGTTTCATTCATTCAGAATATCCGTATAAGCAAGTTGGTTATCTGGTGTTGCTTCATAGTCTGGACAGAGAAGCAGCTGCTAGTCATAACCTTGTCATCCTGGCATCTGACCATGGCTTCCCTCCATTGAGCTCTACAGCCATTGTATCAATAGAAGTACTTGATGTCAATGATAATCCACCCAAATTCAACACTCTGAAATACCATGCCCATGTCAAGGAAAGTACCCCTCTAGGGAGTCACATCACTGTGGTCTCTGCAACTGACCGTGATGTGGGTCCACATGCAGAAATTGTCTACTACATAATCTCTGGAAATGAGAAAGGGCATTTTCATTTGGAAGGGAAAACTGGAGTTCTTTATTTGATTAAACCTCTGGATTATGAAGAAATGACAAAATTCACTTTAACTATTCAAGCTTCAGATGAAGAGAGGAAGCATTTTTCTTTTGCGGTCATGTTTATCAATGTCCTGGATGATAATGACCATGCACCTCAGTTTATGTTCTCGAGCTTGAATTGTGTTGTTCCTGAAAATGTGCCTGTTTTCTCTACCATATGTTCCGTAAATGCTTTGGATTTTGATGCAGGTCCTTATGGAGAATTGACCTATTCTATTTCATCACCCTGTTCCACCATTCATAGGATGCCTCATGATCATGATCCCTTCCTCATTGACCCTTTAACAGGGGATATTCACACTAAGCAAGTCCTTGACTATGAAAATGACAACAAATACTGCCTCACAGTTCAGGCAAAAGACAAAGGGGACTCAGCAGCCTCCTTAATGGTTTGGGTGGATATTGAAGGGATAGATGAGTTTGAACCCATTTTTACTCAAGATCAGTATTTTTTCAACCTTCCAGAAAAGAATAAAGCAAGACAGTTGATTGGCAGAGTGGAAGCATCAGATGCAGATGCTGGTATTGATGGAGTTATTCTTTACTCTTTGGAAACTCCATCTCCTTTCTTTTTAGTAAACAAAACTAATGGAAATATTTATTTGGCTAGAGCGCTTCCCCTGATAAGAAGTCAAATCCGTGAACAGGACATCATTGAAATGAAAATAATTGCTCACAGTCCCAAACCGGACTCCAAGTTTACATTTTGCAGTGTTTTTGTAAATGTGTCTTCTTTCTCAGAAGGACAACACTCAGCAATATCAGGTATCAGCTTTTCAATCAGCCTCACAGTCTCCTTTTTAGTGTTTCTGATACTCATCTTCATACTAATTGTATTGATTTTAAGACATAAACAAAAAGACACAGCAAAGAATTATGAAGAAAAGAAAACCTCATCATCCTTAGATATCAATTTGAGACTGACCACAGAGGGCGGCATGCTCAAGACCTACCAAAAAGCTCAGGAGTGCCATAATGAGGCAGTGGCTGTGGACTCCATGCCTGAGTGGTTGAGTTTAATAAGTATCATGGAGAAAGACATTGTGAATCTGTACAGGCACTCAAACTCCAGTGGCCACTGTTCTGTGGAAGGAGAAAGTGCAGAAGATAAGGAAATCCAGAGGATAAATGAGCATCCTTACAGAAAGGACTCTGGCTCAGCAATGAGTGACCGGGAATCCAGGGTCCCAGACTCTGGAATCCCGAGGGACTCAGATCAGCTCTCCTGCTTATCTGGAGAAACCGATGTGGTGGTCACTGCCGAAACCGCAGAAACCAGCCACACATTTGAGGAAGATCAAGAAGGCTGTGGTACAACCTGTGTTCAAAATTTTGTGTTACCTCAGACACTAAAGAAGAGAGAGAGAAAGGAGAACATCCTGGCTGATGTCAGGAGAGAGTTTGCCTTTATTTCACATGATCAGGAAGTGAGCTGTGTAGCTCTTTCCACCCAGAGAACCTCCAATCATGATGTGAGAGGCAGCTACCACTGGGATAATCTCCTCAGTTGGGAACCCAAGTTCCAACCTCTCGCCTCGGTATTTAACGATATCGCAAAACTGAAAGACGAACATTTACATACACCTGGCGTTCCAAAAGAGAAATCTTTAGTTATTCCACCACCTTTGATAACAGCAGTAGCCCAGCCTGGGATTAAAGCAGTTCCACCAAGAATGCCAGCCAGAACTCCAGGGTAAGTGCTTCAGAAATACCCACACTCCCCCCTTCCCTACCATCTCAGTTCTCTGCCGGAAGTCACGACCCACAGCTTTTCCCCATCTCTTTTCCTGCTGACCACACAGACACCTGCCAGGACCCCACTGTTTTCAGAGGGGGAGTCGTTAGGAACACATCTAAGTGGGACATGCCGTGAACTTAAAGCAGAAGATGAAGTTCAAATATAACATGATTGTGATGTCAGGTACCTGCTCACCCTTGGTCATGAATGGTAAGACAATACATTCTTAGGCTAGCTTCTTAAGATTGGCTACAACGTAGTGAGGGATTTCAGAACCTCCTCATTTAAGTTTCTCAAATTTCTTCCAGCCTTAATGAGAAGTTATCACCTCCTTTAACCTTTATGTTTTGCTCTCAGGACTCAAGTTTGTACGTATAACTAATGTGTATTCTGTCATTGGTTTTCTGTATGATTAGATCTCCAAAGGACACAATGAAGTTGACTGACTGCCAAAATGCTTATATGAAAATATATGGTAATAAGTATAGTGCAGTCTGGTCACATTACTGCTGATTATACTGCTATATCTAAAATAAATTAGTAAAGAGTGAATAAGGAATGAATGTAGAACATAAAAAATAATGGAACAGAGAAACTGGAAAGGATAAACTTAGATTTGAAAATGAAATGATTTTCTGTAGATCCAATATGTTTAGAGATGTATTTCTCCACTTTCCCCATATGCTACACTTACAGAATTTTACCATAATTTGAATTTTAATGTGGTGTCTTTTGGAAACCTAATGAGAAGTTACAAATGAAATTTGTCATAACTGTACCAAATAAGAGAACTATTCTTGATTAAATGAACCAGAAATGCATGTTCTTGATAGAGGGCCAGGATGATAAAAGCAATAAGGATATGGCTGACCACCACCTAAGACATATTTCCTTGGCCTTCTTTATAAATACAATGACAATTTTTTTCAGAGCTCTGTCTTATAACAGGTACAGGTATACACATTAAATTTTGAAGATTCATATTTGTAGATATTTCTTCATTTTATTTTCTTTGAGATACAGTAACTTTTGGTGTGAAATAATTTATCCAACTTCAGTGTCACTTTTAAAAGTTTGCATAGATAAAATTATGTTATTAGCTAATAACAAATTTCATAGAGTAATTTAGCAATATATTTTTAAATGAAGATTTTTTTATATAAATATTTCTACTATAAAAGCTAAGAATGGATGTCACAAGTTTCTCTTCCACTTGTTCATATTCATGTTTAGCTTTAACTGTCATTAGACGGAACAGTTTGGAAACATGGTTAAAATAATTCCGTATTGTACAGCTACTGTTTCAGATATATAGTGCTGTTATGTGGTGCTTACATGTAATGCTATATCCTTCTCCCTGGTGAGCCTGAGAATCCATCAAAGATTCTTATCCCTTCCAGGAAAGCAGACTGCATGCTGCTGCTGATGGTCCAGAAGTCATCCATGGTAGGCAAATGGCCAGGCGTTGGGATAAGAGTGTAGGATCCTAATGTCAAGTCTAGAAGGCATCTGATATAGTTTTCTTTTTTAAATTTTTTAATGTTTATTTATTTTTAGGGGAGGGGCAGGGAGAGAGGGAGACAGAATTCAAAGCAGGCTCCAGGCTCTGAGCTATCAGCACAGAGCCCGATGCAGAGCTTGAACTCATGAACTCCAAGATCATGACCTGAGCCAAAGTTGGACACTTTACCAACTGAGCCACTCAGGCGCCCCTGCTAGGGTTTTCTTAATAGTTAGTGTGAGCTTCTGCTGTAGAGATAATTCCTTTTTTTTTTCAATAGGCCTCATCTATAAAATTATGTGAGATATTTCTTTTAACTGGAAAACACTGCAGGATGCCATGTTCGATATCTGGTTTTGTAGGTAAATAATTCTAAGAGTTGTTATGCTGATTTTATTAATTATATATCTGCTGACTCTTAGATCAGGAGCAAGTATATAAAACCACACCATAAATTATATAAAACATGAAGGTTTTTGGACGAGCCTAGAATCCTAGGGAAGGTCATTTAATCATGGAACACTTAAAGGATGGATGCATGTTTCTCCTTTTTTTCATGGCATGCAGGGAAGATGATTTCATGGTTGTCCTTAAAAACATTAATTATTTCAGTGTTCCAATATTTATTCTTTCCTTGACTTCCTTCAAAAGATTGAGCATACAAAAGAAAACCTATACTGATTTATTTCCTAATTACATATGGAAGTGTTGTTTTATAACAGATTTACCTCTAGGAACCAAAAACATTTTGTTGTTTTTAATTAAATAGGTTCTTTACTTACTTATGTTTAAAAAGAGTCATCCATCTAATTATTCCCTGAGTCATTGGCCTATGATTTATTGCCCATTCCGGACATAATTCTGCATTTTTCTAGACATTTAATAAAACCAGAAGACATGAAGTGTTTAGAGCTATTCCTTACCAATATCTAGTGGATTTTTAATTGATGACTTTATTATACTGTATCCCATGCCACACAGCCACCAAACCACTGCTGCTAGTGGAGTTAAAACTGAAAATGTGAACACACTGGCTAAGTGTTTTCAATAAATCATATGTCGGCCCTTTCAACTAGAGTGCTTTTTTCCTAAGTAAACAATATAATTTGTATAGTTTTCCTTCAAGTTTAATATTAACTTGCCTCATATGTTCTGTGTTACTTTGCTGATCTACACACCGGCTTTAGCACTCTGGAGGGGGTACAGAACTTGTTAGTGGAAAATCATATTAAGCCCCAAATTCATAAGCTATAAAATAAAAGACAGTTGTCTCTTGTGGAATTTTGGCTGCCTGAAATTCTGGACTTTCTTGTTGGCAGCCTTAGAAATACTGGTGTAAATCAGTACCAAATGGATATCAAAATTCCATGTCCTAGTAGTAATCACTGAATTGGCCTCCAAAACAGATTCCTGGGCAAAGAAAAGGAGAAAAAATGCTGTATCTTTAGGGATTTGGTCATTTAACTGTTTTTTAACAATATTAAAATGTCCTATAAACTACTGCCTGCCTTCGTGTACATGTACCTGGTCTGTGATCGCGCTTCTCACCCTCAGTTTCAGAGCCTTCCTTGCTGTGTTTTCCAGAATGATAGGGATGAAAATTAATTATTAATTTTAAAGACTTTTTTAATGTTTATTTTTTTATGTTTAAAAAACGTTAAAAATCTACATAATTTTAATAGGGGTGGGCAAACATGGGCTCTCTGACATAATGATGACCTTTGTGTGACCTATGTGGGAAGTAATTTGACAGTTTCTAAACAGCAATAAAGTACAAACAGCCCTAAATTTGTGTAATACTGGATTTATAAATCATTCCATAGAAATACTATCACGGAAAGAGCCTAAGTGTCCATCAATGGACAAATGGATCAAGAAGATGTGGTTTATCTATAACATGGAATACTACATGGCAATGAGAAACAATGAAATCTGGCCATGTGTAGCAACATGGATGGACCTTGAGGGTGTTATGCTGAGCGAAATAAGTCAGGCAGAGAAGGACAAATACCATATGTTTGCACGTATAGGAGGATTAGGAGGAACTTAACGGAGGAACAAGGGGGAGAAGAAGGGGGGAAATGGTGGGGGAAAGGGAGAGAAATGTTTATTTATTTTTGAGAGAGAGAGAGTGAGAGACAGAACGCGAGCAAGAGAAGGGCAGAGGAGAGAGAGGGACGCAGACTCCAGGTTCTGAGCTGTTAGCACAGAGCCTGATGCGGCGCTTGAACCCACAAACTGTGTGATTCATGACCTGAGCCAAAGTTGGATGCTCAACCAATTGAGCTACCCAGGCACCCCAAAAGTTAATTATTAATTTTCAAACTATTTCCATCCAAACATATGTCTTGTTACTTTTGTTTTGCCATTTTACACATACCTTAACATTAAGTAAAAAAACTACAAAACACAATCAAAAGGATCTAAGATCATGATCTACCTCAAAGCAGTGAGGTACATGGAGTGAATATGGTTAGTGGATTTTCACATGATATTATGGATAAACTCATTGGGTTTATCTTCACACCGTGTTTTGGTTGAGCTCCAAAGTATATAGTGCTATCTGTTTGGTCATAGCTAAAGAGAGGATGGAAAATCATTCCATCCAGGAGGAATACCAACATCAGTGAAGCTGTAGCTTTGCTTATGAACAAAACTGGGCATCCAACATAAGTCACTGGAGGTAGTTTACACGCATTATAGGAATGGAAGGAGAGTAGGGAGAAAGGCCAAAAGAGGAAATAGAAGACTGAATCTGGGGTGCATCCAGGTGACTCAGGCAGTTGAGTGTCTGATTCTTGACTTTGGCTCAGGTCATGATCTCGTGGTTCATGGGATAGAGTCCTGCATCAGGCTCTGTGCTGAGGTGGAGCCTGCTTGGGACTCTCACTCTCCCTCTGTCTCTGCCCCTCCCCTGTGCAGGTGTACATGAGTGCATGCCTTCTCTCTCAAAACAAAAAACTTAAAAAAATAAATAAATAAATAAATCTGTAAAGGAATAGTAAGTTTAGGGCATAGGTAGAGAAATGAAAGAAGACAAAAGGGAAGGACTTGTAAAAACTATTTTTAAGTGTAAAGATTTTGCTGAGTCATTTATCTGTTATAGGTTCATCTTGTTGAAGAATCTTTTTTCTTTTTTCCTTTTTCTTTTTAAGGAATCTGTTTTCTCCTTCTTCCTTTCTTTCTTGTAAGTGTCTCCCTTCTTTTTCGGAAAATTGAGGTTTATCAGTTGTGAACCTAAACCTAGATAACAATGACATAAAATACATTGTGTCATGAAAGGTGAATTTGTTGTAGTGTTTGTCTGTAGGTGTATTTTTGTGTGTGAATTATAGAATAAAAACTTGGGAATGATTACTTCTCACTCCACAGAACTTTGGCATTGAGACTGACATAATTTTAAGTGGGTGACTGACTTCGCACATATATCAAGTAATGGATAGTGTAAAAAGCAGTTGGGACAGAATATAGGATTTTTGTACCTGGTCCTTTAATCAGGTAGCTCATCCTTTTTAAAAGTGAGCACTTGCCTGATAATTGTGATTTATATTAAAATATCACACTTTATAGAAACTTTTAAACCACAGTATAACATACAGGCATGGTTGTTAGCTCTCAAACACTGTGAATTTTATTTGAATTCTAGAAATTACTTTTATTTTGCATAGGTCAAATGTGGAATTTTATTATGGCCATCTTAAATGATCCAGCCCAAAGTGGCTGGAGTATCAAACTATACCTTTCTCTTATAAACTCAGCACTTGGCTATTTGATGACAATTTAGCACTTCCTACTGTTTTGGTCTACAAAATTTTCCTCATTTCACCCAATATATTTGCTAAACCAAAACTGTGAAGTGAGTAATAGAAAGGGAGAAAGCATACCAAATAAATAACAGATGCAGAAGTGCATCTTTTGAATGAGAAGGCATTATTTTGGTTAGAAAGCTAAATACATGAATTTCGTTGTTAGATAGTAAGCCCTCAGGGCAAAGGCCTGGTCTCCGCTTGTAATATGAAATACAGATGTTTCTTAGAATGAATGAGTACATATGTGAATGAGCACAGGGGGTGCTATAATGTCAGGGTGTGATACATAGGCCTCCTTGAAACCATTAGGTGTGAATTCTAACACAGTTCTGTGATTTAACCAATCACAAGGCAGAAAGAAAATTCAAGATCTCATCAAAATATTATAGGATATTTAGATAAAATCAAATAATGAGAATTTTTTTCTGTAATCTGGTTTTCCCTTCCTCATAATATTCATACATTTCTTGTGAGTTTTAGACATAACAGAAACAAGTTATTGATGATGTTCAAAAACATATTGTTTGAGGCAGCAATGTTACATGATCAAGCATGCTGGTTTAATTTCAGATCCTGCAGTAAACATAGCTGCCCTATGGCTAACAGAATAAAGTTCTATCAATAGGAAAAGAGAATACAGTTCTTAGATATAGCTAGAATGTTTAAAATCAAAAGTTATTAACATTTAAAGTAAAAACAATACGAGGAATTTATGAAGGCTGTTCTATATGTACATATACTTAGTATGTGCTAAAAGTGATATTTTAAACAAGTATAAGTTATGTAATAAATGTATATGAGGGAGGAGGTAAATATGAAGTTATTTATCCTCATACTATAAGCAAAATTAATCATAGTTATATTGAGTAAAAGTTAAAATCCTAAGAACTGGAAGAAAAGCACAGAATAAAGGTGAGAAAGATTTTTTTAACTATAAAGGCAAAGGTAAGAGTATTAAATTTGAACTTATGACACCAGAAAGCACCATAAGAAGTCATAAGAAATAATAATAGAGAACTACTTCATAAATTTAATCAACAAATATTTACTTAGTACCTCTTGTACTCAAGGCATGGATCTGGGCTCTGGGAATTTAGGAGTTAACAGAAGAGAAAAAGCCCGTACGTTTACAGTGCTTATATTTTCCTGAGGCAGATAACAATAAAGTTATGCTTTCAAGTAATGTCAAGTGTTATGATCTAAAGAAAACTAAAGCCAGATATAAGGAAAGCAAAGATTGACAAGGTGGCAAGAGAATACAGC